GGTGGTGATAGTGATGGTGGCATGAGTCATGTGACACCAGCAGCGGGCCACGCTACTACCCGCGCTGCTGACTCTGCACAACTACAACCAGCCTCACCCGACCCCACACTCCCACAACCACAACCTGCACAACCACAACCACATTACAATATCCAGAACGCACCAGCTGACCGCATCTGGGATTGGCAGCAAGATGACGAGTTTGTTCCCAATCCCCATGACTTTGATGGAGGACAAAGTGAAATACGGCCATCATGTGCACTTGGGAACAATCCCACTGAACTGGAATGCTTTCAGTTGTTCTTTGATGAGCCCCTGATGGACATTATTGTCAGGGGAAAGCAATACATACTATGAGTACACCATGGCAAACACTATTCTGTCACCAAGATCACGCCTACACCAGTGGAAGGACACAACTGTGGCAGAGATGTATCTGTTCTTTGCTACAATAATGCTTATGCCACATGTGTATAAGCATAGTGTCAACACATACTGGGCGACAGACCGCCTGATTTCAACCCCTGCTTTCAGTGACATTATACCAGTGAACAAATTTGTGTTACTGTTACGCATGTTACACTTTTCAGACAAAACCAGGCCTGACAGAAGCGACAGGTTATATAAGATCAGACATGTGTTTATGTACCTGAAACAAAAGTGCTGTATGTATTTTTATCCCTTCAGGAAGCTTATTATTGACGAGTCTTTGATTTTGTTCAAAGGAAAACTCTCATTCAAGCAGTATACACCAAGCAAGAAGAAACGCTTTGGTATAAAGTTATTTGTTCTGCGTGATTGCAAAACTGGTCTGGTTTTGGATATAATTGTGTACACTGGCGGTAAAACAATGGAAGATACCAGGAAGTTACTGGGTATCTCTGGTGATGTGGTTAGAACAATGATGGAGCCATATCTTGGTAAGGGGCATACGTTATATACCGATAACTGGTACACAAGCCCATTACTCAGTGATTTCATGCGAGTGAACAAGACAGATGTGTGTGGCACAGTGCGTTCTAATCGTAAACATATGCCCAGGCTTAACGCAGGTGCTCGTGGTGATGACGTGCAAGTGTTTACTGCCAATGACATCATGGCATTACGGTGGCATGACAAACGAGATGTCACATTGTTGACAACCATTCACCATAATGAAATGCAAGACAGTGGCAAAGTTGATTGAGTGACTAATGAACGTATTCGAAAACCAGTGTCAGTGATTGATTATACACAAAACATGTGCTTGGTTGACAAGTGTGACATGCAGATTGGTTTTGTTGACTGTGTTCGTAAGAGTTACAAGTGGTACATGAAACTTTTCTTCCATCTCATGGACATTTCAATGCTCAATGCATATAATATGTACCAAATAAAGACTGGTAACAGACCACCGTATGGTGAATTTTGTTTGTCTGTTGTCAGACAACTCATAATGAAGTACCAGGTAACAACACCTGCAATACAACATGGTCCTCGAATTCCTCAGGATATACCCAAGCGTTTGAGGAGAGAAGGTGATCATTTCATAATACAGCTTCCTTCAACTCAGAAGAAATTTGCTCAGAAGAGATGCATTGTTTGTGCACAAACAAAACGACGGCAACAAAGACGCAAAGACACTTGGTTTATGTGTGAGGAATGTAAGGTGCATCTGTGCATGGTGCCTTGTTTCAAGGAGTTCCACAAGCTCCAGCAGTTCTAAAACCATGTCCAGTGATTGTAAATATGTAAATATATGATAGAACATTAGAATTATACAATATTTGTGCATGTTTATTGTAATAAACAACAGTGGTAAACAATAATATGATAATAACTTTAGTGCGGTTATTGTGTTCAATACAGTGAGTTTATATATATACATTATATACAGTATTGGTCTCTCAGGCCCGAAATGTTAGTAGGAATAGAAAAAAAATTGGAAAAGAAAAGAAAAAACAACTAAAACCACAAAATAATGTAATGCGCGTATGTGGAATTCGTCGATGTTGCCGCCACCACATCATTTTTTATAAACTTCTTGGCACTGTATCTCGGTAAGTACTGATCAGATTCTTATTTTTTTTTGTTTTATTACCTTCACAAAAATATGCTCTTTAATTCTGTAAGAAAAAATAATTTTTTTTTTCAAAATTTCTTGGACACTGGAGCATCACTTCAGATTTTGGCCTTGGACCCTGAAAGGGTTAAGCATCTAACAGCACCTTAATTATTTTAACAAATGTGAGTTTATGAAGTACGGTAGATATTTACAGCTAAAATAAAGGAGCTAGTGAATATAATAATAAATGAATGTATTAAAAACAAAATCAGTAGCACCTGAGGTAGTCAACAGCACCTGGAGTGTTTTAATAAATGTGACTATATGGATAAGAGGGAAAAAAATATTACATCTCCTGAAAGTTGCTCTTTATTGTTGTTAGAGCCAGGAGTATAGCAATTACTGAATAAAGGGAAGTACAATGTATTGGTATATTGGAATGAGGTTTATGTAACCTTTCCAACTCCAAGATACGCACTCCACACTCGTACTTTGCAATTATCTCTTTCTTTAACCCTTTGACTGTCACAAGCCCCTTTCTGAAACTGTCATTCTATTTCGCAAAAGTTTGGGAAAAAAAAAAAATTATTTTTTCTTATGAAATGATAGAGAATCTTTTCCCGATGGTAATGACACCAAAAGTACGAAATTTGGTCGAAAACTCACGGAATTACACTCCTACGAAGTTAGTGGTCTCGGCAACATATACGCATCAGCAATTTCGCCGATTCTGAGCCTTGTTTTTGGCCAATTCCATTGTTCCAGTTGACCAAATTCACAGCTATTTCTTTAGAACTCCATTTTTTTCTATCAGTTGAGTACAAGAAACCGCCTATTTACCGATTGGAACTACCCAATAAAGTGGTCAGAAATTGGCAATTTGGTCGGATTTCACTAAAGTCGTGGCTGCCGAAAGGCAGGGGTCCACTGTACTTGTATAAATAATATTAGTGTATTCATGAATGCATATCATACCCACCAGCTGGACTTGTACTGGATGAGTGACGTGACTTGTTTACTCTTGAATTTTTTTTCTATTATTAACACATCGGCCATTTTCCACCAAGGTAGGGACACGAAAAAGAAAAACTTTCATAATCGTTCACTCCATCACTGTCTTGCCAGAGGTGCACTTACACTCCAGTTGTAAAACTGCAACATTAACACCCCTCCTTCAGAGTGCAGGCACTGTACTTTCCATCTCCATGACTCATGTTCAATCTGCTGGTTTCCCTGAATCCCTTCATAAATGTCATCTTGCTCACACTCCAACAGCATGTCAAGTCATAAAAACCATTTGTTTCCATTCACTCCTATCTAACACACACATATGCTTGCTTGAAGTCCAAGCCCCTAGCACACAAAACCTCCTTTACCCCTCCCCCCAACATTTCCTAGGCAGACCCCTACCCCGCCTCTCGAAGTCATTCTGTTTTGTTCAATCCCCTCTACATGACTGAACCACCTCAACAACCCCTCCCCAGCTCTTTAGATAATAGTTTTGGTAATCCTGCACCTCCTTCTAATTTCCAAACTACGAATTCTCTGCATTACATTCACACCACACATTGCCTTCATACACGATATCTCCACTGCCTCCAGTCTTCTCTTCGTTGCAACATTCACCACACATGCTTCGTGCCCAAATAACTACACTCTCAAACATTCCCCTCTTTGCCTCCATGGACAAAGTTCTTTGTCTCCACAGACTCCTCATTACACCACTCACTTTTTTTCCTCATCAATTCTATGATTAACCTCATCTTTCAAAGACCCATCTGCTGACACATCCACTGCTGAATATCTAAATACGTTCACCTCCTCCATACTCTCTCCTTCCAATCTGATATCTAATCTTTCGTTACCTAATTATTTTGTTATCCTTATCACCTTACTCTTTCCTATATTCACTTTTAATTTCCTTCTTTTACATACCCTATCAAACTCATCCACCAACCTCTGCAACTTCTCTTCACAATCTCCCAAAAGCACAGTGTCATCAACAAAGAGCATTTGTGACAACTCCCACTTTGTGTTTGATTCTTTATCTTTTAACCCCACGCCATTGCCAACACCCGAGCATTCACTTCTCTTACAACCCCATTTCATACAACCATGGTGACATCACACATCCTTGTCTAAGGCTAACTTTTACTAGAAAATAATCTCCCTCTCTCCTACATATTCCAACCTGAGCCTCACTATCCTCATAAAAACTCTTCATTGCTTTCAATATCCTACCTCCTATTCCATATATCTGCAACATCTGCCACATTGTCCCCCTATTCACCCTGTCATACACCTTTTCCAAATCCATAAATGTCACAAAAACCTCTTTGCCCTTATCTAAATACTGTTCACCTATATGTTTCACTGTAAACACTTGGTCTACACACCCTCTACCATTCCTAATGTCTCCTTGTTCATCTGCTATCCTGCTCTCTGTCATACACTTAAAACTAGCAAAAAAATCGAACCTTTCCACTACTCTGAGCTCAATTTCTAGCTATTTTCAGACCTCAAACTAATCAAAATCATATTGGTTTCTGTTACATATCTTCCATTCTATCAAATAAGACCAAGAAACTCAGAATACAACCATAAAATCTATACGAAAATACACCACAAAGTCGCTGTTTTACACCATAAATAATGTCACAGTTTTTTTTTGTCATTATTCACTGTGTGTTGCAGGATTTTTTATATGGTGTACACTTACCACATAGACCCATTCTCTCATATTTGGCCCAAATTTACCAATCACAGCTTATCTGAGTGAGCTGACCTCATGGTGTAGTACTATGACATGGACAATGAAAGGCTTAACTTACTAATATCAACACTAATTTACTTTCCACAATGCAAAGATAGGCAACACTAACTTACTTTCCACAATGCAAAGATAGGCAACCCTAACTTACTTTCCACACTGTAAAGATAGGCAACACTAACTTACAGGTCCAATAAATCCCAATATAAGATTGAGAAGAAATATGAAGATAGCAAAGAGTAGTCTAGTTCTGAGGAACTTCCACACAGCTTGATGTAGTGAAGCTTGGTCCCCCTTACTCCTCTTAACTTCTTCATTCCATAAAATCTCCAATCTGAAAATAAGAAATAATTCAATTAATCTCACTCTCTTTAACCCGTTGAGGGTAGTACTACGTCGTGAGCTCAGCTCACCCAGATGAGCTGTGAGCTGTAAATCTGGGCATAGATATGAGAGAATTGCATATATGTTTTAAGTGTGCACCACATAAAACAAATCCTGCAGCACACAGTGCATGAGAAAAAAATGGCAACCGTGTTTTTGGATTAAAATGGCGACTTTGCAATGTATTATTGTATGGTTTTTATGATTGCATTCATGGTTTCATGGTCTCATTTGATACAATGGAAGATACATTATACTGGTTTCAGTACTAAAAACAGCTTGAAATTGAGCTCAAAGTAGCAGAAATGTTTGATTTTTAGCTGATGTTCAAGAGTAAACAAATCACATCACATATCCAATACACATCAACTGGTGGGTCTAATGAGCATTCACAAATGTGCTTATATTATTTATACAATTATTACAATATTGCAAATTGGTTTATAAAGACACGTAAGCAAACACTATGACATATTTATTAGAAAACATTTCAGTCCTCAGACCTAAGACGCAGACAGTGCCTAGAAGCCTCACTAATCGCCGTCACCAACACAACAGAATGCAACACCGGAAACAACAAAATTTCAAAAACATTAGCATACATGATACTTAACCCTTTGAGGGTCGACAGGCCCTCTCCGAGACTCGTTCTCAGGGTCGGCCAAATTTAAAAAAAAAAAATAATTCTCTCTTATGAAAAGATAGAGAATCTTTTCCCGATCATAATGACACCAAAAGTTTGAAATTTGATGGAAAACTTACGGAATTATGCTCTCGCAAAGTTAGCGGTCTCAGCGATGTTTACGCATCAGCGATCTTGCCCACTTTGAGCCCCATTTTTGGCCACTGCACTAGTCGACAAAAAACATGAATATTTCGCTAGAACTCCATTTTTTCTATCGAATGAGTGCAACAAACCACCCATTTATCAATTTCAACTATCCAGTACAGTGGTCAGAATTTAGCAATTTTGCCAATTTCACACAAATTTCAAAAAATGCCAATTTCCAAATAGGGTCCAGAATAAACAAGAAAGACATTCCTGGCACTAAAATGACATTTCCTCTGTTCATTAGTCACGTCTCAAGGCCCCTCTTACATTCTTTTGCTTTCCACTTTGAATTTTTATTCTCACAAAAAATAGAAGATTTACTGTTAAGCAGACTACTGCATTAGTGTAAAAAATTGTATAAATAATATTGGCGTACTTGCGAAAGAATATTAGACTCACCAGTTGACGTGTATTGGACGCTTGGCATGATTTGTTTACTTCTGAACTTTGGTAAAAATCGAACATTTCTGCTACTTTGAGCTCAATTTCAAGGTACTTTTCATTGTAAAACCAGTCAAAATCAAATCAATTTCTGTAATATGTCTTCCATTCTATAAAATGAGACCAAGAAAACTAGAATACAACAATAAATACCATACGAAAATACAGTGCAAAGTCGCTGTTTTATTCCAAAAAAATGGTCAAAGTTTTTTTTTTTCTCATTATGCACTGTGTGCTGCAGGATTTTTTTTATACTGTGCAAACTGACCACAGACCCATTCTTTCATATGTAGGCCTACCAGCTTTTTCCCTCTAGATTTGAGGGCGCTAGAATTTAGGCGTACTAGTACGTCAAAAACCCTGGGTCGTAAGCCATACTAGTACGGCCGAAACTCTCAAAGGGTTAAGCAGGCTAAGCACCATCAACCCAACAACACAGGAGTCACATGATCTCATCGTCTACCCATCCTCATCCCAATATGGCATTCTTCAGTTCACCATGCATCACTCACACCTCACTCTCCACCTATATACAGTGGACCCTCAGCTAACGATATTAATCCATTCCTGAAAGCTCATCGTATGCTGAAATTATCGTTAGCTGAATTAATTTTCCCCATAAGAAATAATGGAAATCAAATTAATCCGCGCAAGACACCACAAAGTATGAAAAAAAAAAAATTTTTACCACATGAAATATTAATTTTAATACACACAAACTGACACTTACCTTTATTGAAGATCTGGTGATGATTGATGGGATGGGAGGAGGGGAGAGTATGGAAGTTGTTAATGTTTAGAAGGGGAATTCCCTTCCATTAGGACTTCAGGTAGCACATCCTTTTCCGGGGTTACTTCCCTCCTTCTTCTAATGCCAATAGGACCAGCTGACCATGGTGCTGCAACAGCTGATTTTGGTGCAGCAGCAGCTAACCGTGGTGCAGCAACAGATGACAGTGGTGTAGCATTAGCTGACTGTGGTGCAGCAGCAGCTGACCGTGGTGCAACAGCAGCTCACCGTGGTTCAGCAACAGCTGACTGGTGCAGCAACAGCTGACCATGGTGCAGCAACAGCTGACGGTGGTGTAGCAGTAGCTGACTGTGGTGCAGCAACAGCTGATCGTGGTGCAGCAACAGCTGACCGTGGTGCAGCAACAGCTGACCGTGGTGCAGCAACAGCTGCAATATGTACGATAGTACATATTTCTCACCCTTTTTACCACAGGGTTGGCAATAGAAGCTTTCTTTGGCTTATTTAGCAGTTACAAGCACTGTAAACAATGGAATAATACAAAATCTATCGAATGTATGCATGCAACCGGCCACCCTGGCTTGTAAACAATGACAGCAGGGCTGGATGTACAGGTTCAGGACGGGTCATGTTGGTCAGAAACAGCTGATGGTGGTGCAGCAGCAGCTGACTGTGGTGCAGCAGCAGCTGACTGTGGTGCAGCAGCAGCTGACCGTGGTGCAGCAGCAGCTTAACGTGGTTCAGCAACAGCTGACTGGTGCAGCAACAGCTGACGGTGGTTTAGCAGCAGCTGACTGTGGTGCAGCAGCAGCTGACCGTGGTGCAATAGCAGCTGACTGTGGTTCAGCAACAGCTGACCATGGTTCAGCAACAGCTGATGGTGGTGCAGCAGCAGCTGACTGTGGTGCAGCAGCAGCTGACCATGGTTCAGCAACAGCTGACTGTGGTACAGCAGCAGCTGACCATGGTGCAGCAGCAGCTGACTGTGGTGCAGCAGCAGCTGACTGTGGTGCAGCAACAGCTGACTGTGGTGCAGCAACAGCTGACTGTGGTGCAGCAACAGCTGACCATGGTGCAGCAGCAGCTGACCATGGTGCAATAGTACGTATTTCCCACCCTTTTTACATATGATCGCTTGAGAAATGGTATATCCTGTTATCTGTTTTTCGTTTATCCACACCAGTAACAGTCTCTCAACATCTTCGAGTACAGTGGACCCCCGGTATTCGGTATTAATCCGTTTCTGAGAGCTCATCGAATACCAAAATTATCGAAAGGCGAATTAATTTTCCCCATGAGAAATAATGGAAATCAAATTAATCCGTGCAAGACACTCAAAAGTATGAAAAAAAAAAAATTTACCACATGAAATATTAAGTTTAATGCACACAAACTGAAGAAGACATGCACAGTTTGTAGTACTCTACTAATAATAGAATACATGACACTTACCTTTAATGAAGATTTGGTGATGATTGATGGGATGGGAGGAGGGAAGAGTGTCGAACTTATTGTTTAGAAAAGGAATCCCCTTTCATTAGGACTTGAGGTAGCAAGTCCTTTTCTGGGGTTACTTCCCTTCTTCTTTTAATGCCACTAGGACCAGCTTGGGAGTCACTGGACCTCTGTAGCACAACAAATCTGTCCATAGAGCTCTGTACCTCCCGTTCCTTTACAATTTGTCTAAAATGGGCCACAACATTGTCATTGTAATAGTCACCAGCAAGGCTTGCAATAGCTGTGTTAGGGTGATTTTCATCCATAAAGGTTTGCAGTTCAACCCACTTAGCACACATTTCCTTAATTTTTGAAGTAGGCACAATGGATTCCACAACTGGCATAGGCTTCCCCAAACCCTTCAAAATCTTTCTTAATTTCCATACTAATTCTCGCCCTTTTTACCACAGGGTTGGCACTAGAAGCTTTCTTGGGGCTCATGATAACTTATTTTGCAGAAACAAGCACCAAAAACACTGTGATAATATGGAATGTACCGAATGTATCCTTAGATGCGAGCACACTGGCTGGCTTGTAAACACTGGCACGCACGGGGCAGTTCAGGCCACACGTGGACACGTCTCGGACGAATCGCGCGTTGCGGGTTTTTTAATGAGCGGAGAGGCAAAATTTTGGCGTTAAAATGTATCGAATACCGGATTTATCGGATACCGATGCCATCAAATACCAGGGGACCACTGTACTTGCGATCTCTGTTTCGAAAACAAACTTGCACCTTTTGCAAGAACAGCTTCCTTGATTGCCATTTTGTTGGCCACAATAGTAGTGATGGTTGACTGGGGTTTGGCATACAACCTGGCCAGCTCCGAGACACTCTACTTTCGTACTTAGCAATTATCTCTTTCTTCATTTCCATAGTAATTTTCACCTTTTTTACCGCACGGTTGGCACTAGAAACTTTCTTGGTGCCCATGGTGACTTATTTTGCAGGTACAATCACTAAAAACGCTGTGATAATATGAAATGTTCCAATTGTATGCATGGATGCGACCACACTGGCTGGCTTGTAAACACTGGCACCCACGGAACAGCTGAGGCGCGCTCAGGCCACATGGACTCGTCTCGAACGAAATTGAGTAAGCTGAGGTTTTTAGCGTAAAGTGAGGCAAAATTTTTGCATTAAAATGTATTGTATGGTGGATTTAACATAAGGTGATGCCATCATTAGCTGAGGGTCCACTGTATAATGTCTTTCTACCTCTGTATGTTAGAAATGATCAAAGTTCCAGGACCAAAACGTTTTCTAATAAATACGTCATAGTGTTTGCTTATGTGTCTTTCTAAACCATGTAAATCTGTATTTCACGAAAAAAAAATTTTTTTGTTAATGCGAACTTTTGGTCTGAAACAGATTAATTGGGTTTACAGTGGACCCTTGTTTTTCGTGATTAATCTGTTCCAAAGAGTC